CGGAGTGTCCAAAACTCACTGCCATAAAGGAGAGTGCTCAGGACACAGGCTCTGTAAACCTGAATCTTAGTATACTCAGTCAGCCTATTGTTGACCCACACTTTCTTTGTCAGTCTGGACATGGTAGTAGATGCCTTACCGATGCGTTTGTTTAGCTCCGTATCAAGAGAGGGAGTCAGAGATTGTAGAGCCTAGGTACACGAAGTCGTGAACGACTTCCAGTTTGGAATCGGAGATACCGATGTCAGGTGAGGAGTCCACTCCTTGGCCCATGACTTGTGTTTTCTTCAGGCTGATGGTGAGTCCGAAAGCCTGACAGGCCTCGCTAAAGCGGGTCATGAGCCGTTGGAGGTCTTTGGCTGAGTGAGCAGTGACTGCTGCGTTGTCGGCAAAAAGGAAGTCGCGCAGACACCTCAGCCGAACCTTCGGCTTGGCTCTCAGCCTGGCGAGGTTAAAGAGCTTTCCATCCGACCTGGTCCGGAGGTAAATGCCCTCCGTGACAGTTCCGAAGGTGTGCCGCAGCTTAACTGCGAAGAAAATCCCGAATAGGGTTGGAGCCAGTATGCAGCCCTGCTTTACTCCACTTCGGATGTCAAAGGCATCTGATGTTAGGCCATCAATGACCACGGTGCCCCTGATGTTCTCATGGCAAGATCTGATGATGCTGAGGAGCCTGGGTGGGCATCCGATCTTGGGGAGGATCTTGAACAGACCATCCCTGTTGACGAGATCGAAGGCCTTCGTCAGATCTATGAAAGCTACGAAGAGTGGCTGCCTCTGTTCCCTGCATTTCTCCTGCAGTTGTCTGAGGGAAAAGACCATGTCGATGGTGGACCTGTCAGCTCTGAATCCGCATTGTGATTCTGGATAGACTCTCTGCAAGTACTTGGAGCCTCTTCAATGCGACTCGAGCAAACAGCTTTCCGACAATACTGAGGAGGGAGATTCCACAGTAGTTGTTGCAGTCGCCCCTGTCACCTTTATTCTTATACAGCGTGACGATGTTGGCATGCCTCAGGTCCTGTGGCACCTCTCCTTCTTCCCAGCAGAGGCAGAGAATTTCATGCAGCTCCATGAGCAGGCTACCTCTGCAGCACTTCAAGGTCTCAGCAGGAATGCCATCTTTGCCAGGAGCTTTAACAGAAGCAAGGGAGTATTGGGCATTGCTGAGTTCTTCGAGGGTCGGTTTGCTGTCGCGCTCCATTTGCTTCCTGCTTGATGCCGTCATAAATTCCCCTTACATTGCTTGTATCCGCCGCAGTCTGTATCTGGGAGCAGAGCTGGAGCCAATAGTTGTTGGCACATCGCCTGGCACTCTGCTGCACTTTGCAGCTGGCGGCCCGAAGGATCTGTAAGTTGCGATGACTTGGGCAGGCTTTGTGGGCTGCCAAGGCATTTCTCTTCTCTTCGATGACAGGTGTCATCTCTTCCGAGTGAGCCTCGAACCAGTCTACCGACCTGCTGGTCTTCTTGCCAAAGGTGGAAATGGCAGCATTGAACACAGCGTCTCTGAAGTGCTCCTATCTTTTACAGGCAGTGACCCCGGCTGGGCCAGGGAGTGCTTCCTCGAGCACACGTGCAAAATCTTCCACCTTGTCCTGGTTGCGGGTCTTGGTAGTGTCGATGCGAGGTCTGCCCTCCTTTTTCGTGTGATGAATCTTCTTTGGTTGTATCTTGACCCTGCTACATACCAGGGAGTGGTCGGTGTCACAGACTGCACTCTGGTAGCTACGCGTAATCTTGACGATGGGTAGACTTGCACGCCTGGTAAGAATCAGGTCAAGCTGGTGCCAGTGCTTGGATCTGGGGTGTCTCCAAGATACTCGGTGTTGAGGCTTTGTGCCGAAGAACGTGTTGGTGACACAGAGACCATGAAAGGCAGCAGAGTTCTAGCAGACGTTGCCCGTTCTCATTCATCCTCCCTATGCCGAATTGACCCAGACAAGTGGGCCAAATGTTGTGATCGGCACCCACTCTGGCGTTGAAGTCGCCGAGGATGAACAATGGCTCCTATACAGGGATTCTCGCTATGACTCTGTTGAGGTCATTGTAGAATTTTTCCTTTGTCTCTGCTGGAGAAGTCAGGGTTGGTGCTTATGCACTAATTACATTAACAGGTCCTTTTCGGGAGTGCAGTTGCAGAGACAGAATTTCTTCGGTTTCCCCCATCGGTGGCATAATGTGTCCCAACAGTGCATTCCTGACGGCAAATCCCACACGATGTTCTCTGGTCTCATCAGGAGGTTTTCCTTGCCAGAAGAAAGAGAAGATCCTCTCTCTGACAGATCCTGATCCTGGGAGCCTGGTCTCTTGGAGAGCAACAATATCCATCTGCAGTTTGCTCAGCTCCCTATCGATGATTGCTGTTTTCCGGGCGTCATTGATTTCTTGCAGGTCGTCAGAGAAACCTGGTGTCAGTGTCCTGATGTTCCAAGTGCCCAGCTTTAGGGCAGTTGATATTTTCTTCTTAGGTTTAATATTGCTTGGTCCAAAGTTGTCGGGCCGCTTGTCGGTTTTTTGCCTAAACCCCATGCACCCAGTGAGGTTAACGGACCGTGGCGAGGCAATACCTAATTGGCTGGGGTTTGCCCAGCTTGAGGTGGGCGGTAGCTGCCCAGTGGGGTGCGATGACCCCTCCCACTGTCGGAAGCAACCCCTGGCATCACACTCTTTGCCAATCAAGCAGAAGACTTAAAACCGGTAGACTGCCGCTTTCCGTGTTGGTTCGACGCTGTGAGGCGAAGCTGGAGTGTCCTCTCCAGGGCGCAAAGCCTGGGTAGGTAGATATGGAGGAGAAGCTGTTATCCATGCAGCAGGTCCCCCCTCTCCACGTTGCTGAAATTATCCAATAGAAAGGCAAATGCCAATACACATGGTTCCAGCAACGTCGCAGGAGCTGCCAGAACGAGGTCGACGTCAACAACGAACTGCCTTAGGGGCTCCAACTCCGGAGCCCCTAAATCAGGTAGAACTATCACTGTATATATCTCGGAAGACAAACAAGCACAAACCCGGTGACAACGAACAGAATAATAATGTACAGAATCTTGGAGCTATCTCTCAGTCCAATAGGAACAACGAAGGAAATTTAATGTGCTTCTACACTAATGCCAGAAGCCTAGTGAATACCTTTAATGCATTATGTGCATACGCCGAGGCCGAGACTCCGGACATCATTGGCAGAAGTGAAACATGGGGATGATTAGACAGTATTGAAGGGGAATTCCTCCCAGGAGTAATGTCCCTGGGAGGAACACACGTCCATCCATAGTGACTATAGGTACTGTGTACGTCCATCCATAGTGACTATAGGTAGTGTATGTCCATCCATAGTGACTATAGGTACTGTGTACGTCTATCCATAGTGACTATAGGCACTGTGTACGTCCATCCATAGTGACTATAGGTACTGTGTACGTCCATCCATAGTGACTATAGGCACTGTGTACGACCATCCATAGTGACTATAGGCACTGTGTACGTCCATCCATAGTGACTATAGGTACTGTGTACGTCCATCCATAGTGACTATAGGCACTGTGTACGTCCATCCATAGTGACTATAGGCACTGTGTACGTCCATCCATAGTGACTATAGGCACTGTGTACGTCCATCCATAGTGACTATAGGTACTGTGTACGTCTATCCATAGTGACTATAGGTACTGTGTATGTCCATCCATAGTGACTATAGGTACTGTGTACGTCCATCCATAGTGACTATAGGTACTGTGTACGTCTATCCATAGCGACTATAGGTACTGTGTACGTCCATCCATAGTGACTATAGGTACTGTGTACGTCTATCCATAGTGACTATAGGTACTGTGTATGTCCATCCATAGTGACTATAGGTACTGTGTATGTCCATCCATAGTGACTATAGGTACTGTGTACGTCTATCCATAGTGACTATAGGTACTGTGTACGTCCATCCATAGTGACTATAGGCACTGTGTACGTCCATCCATAGTGACTATAGGCACTGTGTACGTCTATCCATAGTGACTATAGGTACTGTGTATGACCATCCATAGTGACTATAGGTACTGTGTATGTCCATCCATAGTGACTATAGGTACTGTGTACGTCCATCCATAGTGACTATAGGCACTGTGTACGTCCATCCATAGTGACTATAGGCACTGTGTACGTCTATCCATAGTGACTATATGTTATATGTACGTCCATCCATAGTGACTGTAGCTACTATGTACAAGGGCGCCTGAGAGCTGGGTGGACAACGCTTCAGATTCGTAGTCCTGAGGTTCCGGGTTCGATCCCCGGTGGAGGCGGAGACAAATGGGCAAAATGCTTCTTTCACCCTGATGCCCCTGTTACCTAGCAGTAAATAGGTACCTGGGAGTTAATCAGCTGCTACGGGCTGCTTCCTTTGTAAGAAAAGAGAGGCCTGGTCGAGGACCGGGCCGCGGGGACGCTAAGCCCCGAAATCATCAAGATAACTATGTTCGTCTGTCCCTAGTGACTATAGGTACTGTGTATGTCCATCCATAGTGACCATAGATACTATGCACGTATAATAATAGTGACTATAGTTATATATGTACTTCCACCCATAGTGACAATAATTATATGTACGTCCATACATAGTGATTATATGTTCTATGTACGTTCATGCATAGAAACTATAGGTACTATGCACGTCCATCCATAATAACTATAGCTACTATGCTCGTCCATCCATAGTGACTATAGATACTATGCATGTCCATCTATAGTTACTACAGGTACTATCGTCTTTGAATGACAGGTTGTGCTTGATGCTGAAGGCGACAAAACTGAATACTTTATTCCTAAGATTCTTCAACAAATTGGAGACATAATGGAACCAGGAACAAGAGAATATTATTTTAACAATTATCTTGTTGTTTTCATTTCAGTGCCTATCCTCTTGAGTGAAGTCAAACAGATATGAATCGAATGACAAAACTGACAGACATAGAAACATCGACACATGTACTCAATTTATGACTCCTTACCTTGCGTATACCTGTCATCAAGAGTCAGGTGAGTGGAGACCAGGTCAGTCAGGTTGGCCATCACCATCAGCATACTTTTAACACCTATAAACAGATCCATCAATTAAGATCATATCCTTACATGTGTTTCTATGATATGTTCAGCACTAGAGATTAGCCTGTGTACTGGTATCTTATGGTGTGTATTGGTGTCTTATGGTGTGTACTGGTGCCTTATGGTGTGTACTGGTGTCTTATGGTGTGTACTGGTGCCTTATGGTGTGTACTGGTGCCTTATGGTGTGTACTGGTGTCTTATGGTGTGTACTGGTGTCTTATGGTGTGTACTGGTGCCTTATGGTGTGTACTGGTGCCTTATGGTGTGAACTGGTGTCTTATGGTGTGTACTGGTGTCTTATGGTGTGTACTGGTGTCTTATGGTGTGTACTGGTGTCTTATGGTGTGTACTGGTGCCTTATGGTGTGAACTGGTGTCTTATGGTGTGTACTGGTGTCTTATGGTGTGTACTGGTGTCTTATGGTGTGTACTGGTGTCTTATGGTGTGTACTGGTGCCTTATGGTGTGTACTGGTGTCTTATGGTGTGTACTGGTGTCTTATGGTGTGTACTGGTGCCTTATGGTGTGTACTGGTGTCTTATGGTGTGTACTGGTGTCTTATGGTGTGTACTGGTGCCTTATGGTGTGTACTGGGGTCTTATGGTGTGTACTGGTGCCTTATGGTGTGTACTGGTGTCTTATGGTGTGTACTGGTGTCTTATGGTGTGTACTGGTGCCTTATGGTGTGTACTGGTGTCTTATGGTGTGTACTGGTGTCTTATGGTGTGTACTGGTGCCTTATGGTGTGTACTGGTGCCTTATGGTGTGTACTGGTGTCTTATGGTGTGTACTGGTGCCTTATGGTGTGTACTGGTGTCTTATGGTGTGTACTGGTGTCTTATGGTGTGTACTGGTGTCTTATGGTGTGTACTGGTGCCTTATGGTGTGTACTGGTGTCTTATGGTGTGTACTGGTGCCTTATGGTGTGTACTGGTGTCTTATGGTGTGTACTGGTGTCTTATGGTGTGTACTGGTGCCTTATGGTGTGTACTGGTGCCTTATGGTGTGTACTGGTGCCTTATGGTGTGTACTGGTGCCTTATGGTGTGTACTGGTGCCTTATGGTGTGTACTGGTGCCGTATGGTGTGTACTGGTGCCTTATGGTGTGTACTGGTGTCTTATGGTGTGTACTGGTGCCTTATGGTGTGTACTGGTGCCTTATGGTGTGTACTGGTGCCTTATGGTGTGTACTGGTGCCTTATGGTGTGTACTGGTGCCTTATGGTGTGTACTGGTGCCTTATGGTGTGTACTGGTGTCTTATGGTATGTACTGGTTCCCTAAGTAGCAAATATTTAGTTCACTCATTAAATACGTCACAATGAACTGTGAACATAACTTTGCTCCTACTCTTACCTTCCTCGACACCTCGCTGCTCCTCCTGCAGCTGTTGTAGAGCAATCTGGTTGAATATGACGTTATGTGTCAAGTCCAACTCTTCCGTGTGGCCCATGGTGGCCTCCGTGAAGGCGGCCGACCAGCCCACCAGGACACAGAGGAGAGGCAGCAGACAGGCAGACATGACTTTTCCCACCATACTCACACTACACACTAACCAACATCCTCCATGACTGCTGGCTGGCTAGCTGGCTGGCTGGCTAGCTGGCTGGCTGGCTGGCCACCACGCACTAAGTACACCCGCGCTCAACGCCCACACTGATAAATATAGTGTACCACCAGGAAGTTATCCTGCAATATGCCCAGTTCTTTAACATGTTTTTACAGAGGAGAAGCCAAGATCGAAAAATGAGCATAAAAGAATAAGAAAGAATGTAGAGATCTGTTACTAGGAAGGTTAAGCTATGAGAACTAAGGGAACTGTGCATGACAACCAGGGAGTATATAACAACCTAAGGGGATTAGATCATAACATACAAGGGGCCTACCAAGGGCCTGGTAGCCTGGTGGATAGCGCGCAGGACTCGTAATTCTGTGGCGCGGGTTCAATTCCCGCTCCAAGCAGAAACAAATGGACAAAGTTTCTTTCAACTTGAATGCCCCTGTTATCTAGCAGTAAATAGGTACCTGGGAGTTAGTCAGCTGTCACGGGCTGCTACCTGGGGGGTGTGTGTGTGTGTGTGTGTGTGTGTGTGTGTGTGTGTGTGTGTGTGTGTGTGTGTGTGTGTGTGTGTGTGTGGTGTGGGGGGGGAAATAGTAGTTAGTAAACAGTTGATTGACAGTTGAGAGGCGGGCCGAAAGAGCAAAGCTCAACCCCCGCAAACACAACTAGGTGAATACAAGATACTGAGGGTAATGTACAACGTGAACAGATACAACTTTTTTTTAATGAGAGAAAGAACAAGTGGACATAAGTTTAAGTTGGAAACTCAAGTTAGTTATCTTGAGGTTATCTTGAGATGATTTCGGGGCTTTAGTGGCCCCGCGGCTCGGTCGTCGACCAGGCCTCCACCCCCAGGAAGCAGCCAGTGACAGCTGACTAACACCCAGGTACCTATTTTAGTGCTAGGTAACAGGGGCATAGGGTGAAAGAAACTCTGCCCATTGTTTCTCGCCGGCGCCTGGGATCGAACACAGGACCACAGATCACAAGTCCAGCGTGCTGTCCGCTTGGCCGACCGGCTCCCTTTAACTTTGTAGTTGAAGAAAGACAAAGACATACTCATACTCTGTATGTGTAGGCAACAAGTGGAATACACTGAAATATGAAGTTGCATAAGCCACCTCTCTTAAAAAATGTTAAGACAAGATTCGACGAAAATGTGAACGTGAGAATAGTTAAACTGTACCGCAAGAAGTACAACAAGGCCCGAGTAGGCGAGCTTTAAAGAGTTATGTTTCACTTACCTTAGCAACCCGTTCTCAGACCAATTCCAATCCATCCACTGGTCGACCCCACATGCTGTTCATTCAAAACGGGAATTTTCTCATATATAACTTAATATTATAATATATTAACATAATGTGCATATATAGGCATAGGTTAGGTGTTTAGGTTCTGTTGGCGATTATTTGTACTTGTAGTACGTGGGTGAAGCATTTTTAGCATTGTGGTTCGAACAAAATTCGTTAGTGAAGCACTTGTTCCGGAAGTTTTCGAACGAAATCAGCTGTGAGTTGTGTGTAAACCATTTTTCATTCCTAAACTAGGGGTTTAACGGCTGCATGGAATCACTTTTGGGTCTTTTTTGGAGGACGAGATGAACTAAGACCCAAAAGTGATTCCATGCACCCACCAAACCCCCTGTTTATGAATACAAAATGGTTTACACACGACTCACAACTGTTGACGTTCGAACATTTCCGGAACAAGTGCTTCACTGACGAATTTTGTTCGAACTACAACGCTAAAAACGTTTCACCCACGTACTACATATACAGATAATCATCAACAGAACCCGAACACCTAACCTAACCTATGCCTATATATGCACATTATGCTAATATATTATAATATTAATTTATATTTGAGAAAATAACCGTTTTGAATAAACAGCATGTAAAAATTTATGATAGCGTCTGTGGGGGTCGACGGCTGGATGTAATGGACTTCAGTCGAAGACGGGTTGTGTTCTGAAAGTGTTTGGACGTCCTCAGTCGTGAGTCGAGTGCAAACAGTTTATCATTCATAAACAGGGGATTTGACGAATGCTTGGAATGGTCTTTGACCTTCGTTTACGAGGACGCGCTGCCCTTCATCACTGATAGATAAGTACCACCCCCACGCTCACTACCCCATCACATCCTTCCCTGCACGCACCACCATCACCACGCACCCCACCACCACCACTCTCACTAAACCATCCACTACCCTGCACCCATGCACTACAATTTACAATATAACATCTCCCACTACCCATCACCTACACATCAACAACCACCACCCCCCACTACTCTCTACCTCCACACCTCCAACCACCAACCCCCACTACTCTCTACCTCCACACCTCCAACCACCATCCCCCACTACCCTCTACCTCCACACCTCCAACCACCATCCCCCACTACCCTCTACCTCCACACCTCCAACCACCATCCCCCACTACCCTCTACCTCCACACCTCCAACCACCATCCCCCACTACTCTCTACCTCCACACCTCCAACCACCATCCCCCACTACCCTCTACCTTCACACCTCCAACCATCATCCCCCACTACCCTCTACCTTCACACCTCCAACCACCATCCCCCACTACCCTCTACCTTCTCACGTCCAACCACCATCCCCCACTACCCTCGACATTCTCTCAACCGACCACCATCCCCCACTACCCTCTACCTTCACACCACCAACCACCATTCCCCACTACCCTCCACCATCACACCAACCACTATCCACAACTACCCTCCACTTTCACACAACCAACTATCATCCCCAACTCTCCTCCATCTTCACACCTCCAACCATCATCCACCACTACACTCCACCTGATTGGCTCGTCAGCAGCTGTTGGGTGCAGACGTGTTTCTTCGTGGGCTAGCCAGTTCCACCTTAGTGGCTGTGTGAGGAGGGTGTCCGTGGCAGCTGTGGTGGTGTTGTCCCGCGTGTGGGCGTGGTACGCCTGTTGCGTAGGCATGGGGGACTTACCGGCCTCCATTGCAGAGAACCTCGTCTGCTGGTCTGGCTTTTACGGTGCCAGTGGACCACATGTTGGTTGGTGTTGCCTTAGTGGATGTTCTACATGTGCAGTTGTTGGAACTGGTGGGCATCCAGCTGCTTCAGGGGAACCGCGCTATGGTAAAGTTTCACCATCAAGCTACATTTCAGGCGTTTCTGGGGTAGTGTGTGGGGCATGTTTACCCTCTCCCTGATGCCGCCGGTTCTGGTAAGGTAGTGAACCTCGGCGTCGCCTTGACGTATGTGTCGGTGCGTGGTGCCCCCTTTGAAATTTCACGACAATTTTCTAACTGCTTGTTTTGGATGGTTTGGTACCGTGCTAAGCATTCGTTGGAACAAGGTACTTGCAGGGCATTGTGCTGGGATGCTTGACGGCTCCCGTACCCTGACCATGTCTCTGAAGAGTAGTGTTCCGTCCTGTGTCTTTGATGGGTTACACGCTCCTCTGCTTGTATCGGGGGCTACTGCGCACCTGTTATAGGTGTGGTAATGAGGGTCATCTAGCTGCAGCGTGCGACGTGGAAGCAACTGGCAGAGTGCATATTTTTCGTGAGGACTTTCCACACTGTTGACTTCGAACGCTTTTGAGGATGGAGTGAGTGCTGTGCCCGAGGTTGCCTGATTGCCTGTTTGAGGCGGTTACTACGCCTTGTATGTCACGTCTGTTACCTGCTGTGGTCCCAGAGGTAGTTGTTGTGCCAGAGTGTGTGAGTGTCGGGCCGTTGCCTGCACTGCGTGTGGTGGTATTCTGGTGAAAGTCCATGTCACACCCCTGCCTGCAGATGTAGTCCCGGCTCCTGGGGGCACTGGTTCTTCTGTTTTTAGGGCCTGCCTCCGAAGGGGCCGGGACCTGCCGACCCTTTGTGAGTTTGGACGATTGTAGTTCTGATGATGTACTCCCTTTGCAGAAGTGGTGGTACTCGTGTTAGGCGGGTAGATACTGTACGGCTGGATTTTTCTGGTGCAGTGGACTGGCCCATTGTGGAGATTGCTCTCCTGAACGTGCTCCGTGTCGACGTCTCTGACCTACTTGGGCTAGAAAAGATCTCGCCTACTCGTGTGGCGGTGTCGTTTGCAACTCGCTGCTTTACCAGGAATTTGTGGCACGCTGGGATGCAAACTCGCTTCCTATTCCTCCTTCGGCTGTGACTGTGCAGATCTCGGATCCCTGGGGGGCCCTTGTCATTTGTGAGTGTTCACGGTGTGCCGGTGACCTTCCCCGAAGCAGAGGCAGAGCCTATGTCAGTGTTTATGCGATATGGTGTGGTGGTGAAGCACCGGTTCACCACTGAGTGCAGGCCGGCTAAAAGGGGTCCATTTGGGCGCTCGTCATGCGGGTCACAAGCCCTATTCCTTCCAGGGTTTTGTTTCGTGGGCTCTTTCTGCGGATATTTTATCAGGGTCAGAAACGAACTTGTTTCCGGTGTGGCGCTCAGAGCCACGTGGCTGCCAGCTGCGATGCTCCTCGTGCTGCGGATCTTCGCTCTGTCCTGGTGCCTGTTGTGGTTCCAGCAGGCGTTCCGTCTGGCCCTGATCTGTCTGGCTCTGGTATGTCTGCCCCGCCGGTGAACTCTGAGGACCTGGGGGCACCTGCTTCAGATCTTCGACGTTCGGTGGTTGCGGAGGTGCATCCGCAGCTGGTTGCTTCCATGGAGGCATTGGATGGTGCTGTAGGGGTGATGCCTGCTTCTCCTGCAGACGGACATGTGCTTCCCAGGGCTGTCGGGGTTGTGGTGTGTGAGACCCCACCCCCCAGCCCTCCTCGTCACCTTTGGTAGTTTCCTCATTCCCACGTACCTCTTCTCCTGCGCCGGTTCCGTCGTCCCCACTGGATACCTCACGTGTACTGGAGTCTACCCTTCTGTCTGCTGTGTCTCTTCCTTCACCGACTCCGATCTCCTTGGATGGTGGTGGCTTTATGCCCTGCGTCGTTGAGGTTGCCGTTCTGCGTGGTCATGCTGCCCGGCTTAGGGGCCGCTTGCCGATGGTTCTCTT